TGGATGTGTGAGCCAATGCTCCATGCTGTTGGCTGTGATGGAGCCTTGGGATAGAGGCTATGGCTTCCTGGGGCTTTAAAGATTACACATCAGAACCAAAGCACCAACCCCAAAACATTAGATACTATCTCAATTGTGTTATGCAGATTACTCTTTCTGCATGTCCTTCTTTCTGCATTTGCAGAGGTGATCTCAGGCCTCCTAACTCGCCCAGCTCATGGCACTCAGCTGCTGTGCGCAGTTCTCACAGTCACTCATCCTCAAGCCACTCCCTTCTTCATGAATGAATAAACCTGGGTTCAGACTTGGGTGGAGGCCTTTGTTCCAGAGGGCCATCATTGTGGCTGGACTTAGGATCCCTTAGCTCCCCATAACTACAAATATGCCTTAGTGTCTTTATTCTCACCATGGGTTACATTGGAAGTGGTAGATTGGAATGAACTCAATAGAATTCCAATAACTTTTCATGGGATTACAAATACAAAACTTTCTGAACTGTGACGAGGACTGGGAAGGGCTCTCTACAGGTCCTAGGACTTTCATTATTTCCCACTTGCACAGAGCTCTGCTCTCACTGAACCCTCCTCCTACCTCTCTCCTCTGTGTAGGTTGGAGTTGTATCACTTCATCAAGTGACATGTTCTACTGATGCCAATGAAAATCTGACTTGTGTGCAGTAAGAGCTCACAAAAAGGGACGACCTACTCAGCAGGGAAGGCTTTGCTGACACAGGAGGAAGTCACTTCCTCTTCCTCCCAGATCTTACATAATGATTATCAATCTTCCCAGCATCCATCACACTTGCAATTTTGCATTCATTTGTCTGGCTGCGTGTTAACACCTGCCATCTTACCAGGTTGTGATCTCCTTGAAGAAAGACTGATGCCCACCTACAGGGTACTCAGCATGTTCTCAGGAAATAGTGATTGAAACACTAGCTTGATACATGAATGACTTATTTCTTGTTTCCTAGGGAAAATAGAGTTCCTGGGTATGGATGCCTTCTTTTTCCCACCTAGAGCCTAGAAAGTGTACACTTCCAGGATCTCTGTTCTGGATGAAGGCCCTCAATAAGCACTTAGCCGTCTGTCCTCCCTGATCTAGTTCTGATGATCCCACTTTAGCACATTTCAATCTCTCCTTTTGGCTTCATTCCTTTCTCACATCCATTGATACAGCTGGACCCATTAGGAAAAAATACCTTCCTTGACCTGGCGTCTGTCTCTTTTCCTTTACTAACTCCCCGAAATCCACAGCCTGCACCTGCCAACTCTACTTCTCCCTCCCCCTGTACCCCCATCTCTTGTGACCTCAAGAGTAATCTTTCTCCTAAACTCCAGACACAGGTATCCAACTGCTGACCGAAAATGTCTGCCTGTCTGTCTCAAAGCCTCCTCTAACCAAACTCCTCCCTTTTCACACCCACGTCCAGGACTGCTCCTTTAGAGCCGGTAAGGAGCAGCCTCTCTCACTCAGCTACAAAGCTGGGGCTCTGATTATTACTCCTCTCCTTCATCTTCTCTCCATCGCAGTTAGCGTCTTGTCTTGGCTGCCGTGTTTCTCTGGAAGCTCTCACTGGGCAGCAGAGAAACTCATCTGCAGCGCTTGGCCTGCGGAGGGAGCTTCCAGCGGCCCACAGGCCAGCCATTGCGCACCGAGAGTGGTCTCTCTAAAGCACAGTCTGACCTCATGTGGCTTATTCTTTTCAGACCCGAGACCCCTCCAGGCTCTCCAGTCCCCAGGGCACTGCTGCGCCTGCGCGGCCTTATGTGTTGCACCTTCACCTTTCCCTGCAGCGGCTCCTTCCCTAGGTCTTCTGATCTAGTTATTCCTTGCTCTTCCTGTGACTCCAGATGTGCTGTTTCCTGCCTTTTCACCCATGGCTTCTTCTCTATACAGCAGTGTCCCTGGACTTTGGGCAGAATAGAGTACCTCTGCCCAGGCTTCAATGTCTAGCTCAATGGCTTTTTGTTTTGCACCACTATCCCTGATCTTCTGAGATACAGCTGAGGGCTCCCAACGCACCAGGCAAGAGTTGTGTGAGACTCGTGCTGGACGAGATGCTGCAGGGAGTTGTTCAGGCCACGGACTGCATACCTTTTGGAGCTTTGTTCACCAAATGGTGGGCAGTCAATGCAATCACACACTGCGACCCAGCTTTCGAACTTTCTTTTCCTTTTGTTCTGTTGCTCCCAAGGATCATAGGAAATGGACAGCAGGCGTGAGAAGATTAAAGATGTCACATGCAGCAAGCATATCTGCGCGCTGGAATTCCGCGCAAACTCCGGAGGCAGGAGGTGCGAGGGCGCGCATGCGCGATGAGTCAGGATCCCGGCATGCGTTCGGCTGAAGTTTAAGAGACAATCGGTGTTATGCTTTGACACCCCATGCTCAAGGGCAAACTGTGCAAGAGCTCCGGCAGGAAGAGTTAGTTCAGAGTCATAGTGTGGTCCGACAACACCAGAGCAGGACGAGCTCAGAGAACAGACGCAGACTATTTAAATAAAAATGATCAAAACACAACTGACCACTGCAGATGAATCGCAGTTGCTTCATCCAGAGGTGGAGACAGGTCGCAAGTCCCTCTGTGTCTCCTTGGGTTTATGACTGCTGGTGGCAGTCGGGGACTGTCACGGGAACCTCCCCCGCCGGCTGAGTTCCTGCCCTGTGCAGATGGGGACGATCGCGGGAGGAACTTGAGCAGCTCCCTCAGTTCCAGGCTTGCTCCCCTGGCCCTCTAGGCGGAGAGCGTCCTTAAACCAGGAGCTGAGTTTTTTGATCTCAGATTACCAGCATCTTACACGTCACCTGGCGCAGGAAGGGCCCTCCACGCACTTTCTAGCCATGGGTGGATTCACAAGGGAGGCTCTGGACTTTAGCAATATTAAGGAATATAGTAGTCATCCAAACAAACTGGGTGCCTTCCCTGGGACTGGCACTTTGCTAAATGCTTTACATCTATTGACTAATCTCACCCTCCTGTGCAGGTACTACAATCATCCCCGTTTCCCAGACAGAGGAATGAGATGCCAGAGATGGTAAGGAACCCGCCCCAGGTCACAAAGCTAGGGAGGAGCAGAGGACCCTTACCACCGATAATCTGGATCCAAGGCCTGCCTTTACCACGCTGCTCTGTCCTCCACCGACTGCGACAGCAATTTTAATCTGCAGAGAGGTTTAGGATTCTAAATGAAGATTATTTGTCTTACTTTTTCTCTTTTCTGAGCCAATTCATTTATGTTTGTGCTTTGGAAATCCCTATTTGTTCTTAGAGACAGTCACTTTTGGACTACTGCTCACACTCTTTTCCCTGAGCCCTGGGGAGTAAGTTAATAGGGGAGGTTGAAAGTTCTATTCCACAGCTGGGGATGTAGCTCAGAAGAGACTCAGGCATGGGATGGATTAGATTGCTTGTTTGGCATGCCCCGGGCCCTGGGTTCAGTTCTCACCACAGACAATAAAGCGAAGTTGCCACAATTTCAGTGTGGCTAGTGAGGCCTAACTAGCTAGCCCAAAGGACAAAAAATGACAAAAGAAAGTTCTTCACAATAGAGACATTCCATTCCATTTCCTCTGGGCTATATACCTGTCCTTTCTGGTGGCTTTCTTTTAAACTGAGGGGAAGTTAGGGAGATTTGAGATTTTTTGGCTAATTTTTTATCCACTTATAGTTTTACTTTGGTTTTGTTTTGGGGGAGACAAGGCTAGGAGTTACCTACCCAGCTTTGGGAAAACTTCTCAAAGATCTAGTAGGAGAGTTTTTTGGGTAACACTTTTAAAAAATGTAATATAAGTATCTCCTCTCCTCATGCAAGAACAATTCATTTTTCTCTTACATTGTTTTCTTATTTTCTTTGTTGCCTTTTGTAAGTTAGGCAATTTTATAACTTGGTTCCACTCTGTCCTCTTACCCCAGAGTTGAATACTTGTGTTTCTTCCAGAAATATCCATAATTTAATTTTCCATTTTACTTAGCTGTGTTTCTGCAACCTGTGGTGAAAACTGAAATACAAGTCTATGAGTGTAAAGTTTTCTGGCAAAAAACAAAAATTCACTCCTGGCTTCCATTTTATGAGGATTTCAAATGCTTCATCATATTCTTCAGGCCTATATATATATATATATATATATACACATATATATACATGGGAATTTTTGTAGGGCATAATTATAAGTAAAAGCTTTGGTTTTTTTATTCTAGCTCAGAGGGAGAGAAAAGAATAAATATGTATGGAATCAACAACCATTGCCAGCTCCCAGGTCATTTCTTGAGTTAGGTCTTAAAGAATATATAAAGTGTTTTTTTTACACCACCTCTGGGTCTTTTCTAATTATTTGCCTGGTTGGCCTAAGAGTCTGTGAGTCCCGGCCTTTGCTATTCCTCTTACAGGATGTCTTCATGAAGGGATGCAGGATTCTTAGGTTTCCTGTTTCTAAAAATAGAAAAGCATGCTCTTGTAGTAATTTAGCCAATTCTTACATGTTAAGGATGGAAAAATCCATGGATTTCTGGCCTTAATTCTCTGTGAATTACATTGGATTTGGTTTGAAAGTGGCCTCAAAATGACTCATGACCGTAAAAACTCCAGTTCTTGGATTATGATGCAATGTATTTTCAGTGGTGGACATTGAACCCCCCCTTTCTGAGATTGTACAAAGAATTGAGTGAAAGTGTTTTCCTAAGATTAGGCAAAGTTCTGTTTGGAAGTAAGCTATGCATTGACTATGGGTTGGGTATGGCTAGATTTCTAATAGAAGGTAGATTTCTAACAGAGGGTGTTGCTAATGTCGCCATACCCAGTATACCACAGATTAGGCAGCTTAAACAGCAGCAAATCATTTTCTCCTGGCTCTGGAGGCTGAAAGTCTGAAAACAAGGTGCCAGTAGGGCTGGCATTCCTCCTCCTTTTGTTCTTCTTTTCCTCTTCCTCCACTTCTTCGTCCTCCCCCTTTTCATCTTCTTCCTCCTCTGCATCTCTGTCTTCCTCCTTTTACTTTTTGAGCTGTATCACAATTTTATTTGTCATTTTTATCTTTCAGAGGAACAGTCTATGTCAAGTAACACTTGTGCCACTCTAAGTGACCATATTGTAATGGGATTCTTTTTTCTCCTAATTCTCCCTTCTTATTTAAAGCTTGATGAGCATATGTTTGTGATAGGGCTGGCTTCTTCTAGGCTTCTCCCTTTGGCTTGTACTTGGCCGTCTTCTCCCCATCCTCACATGGTCTTTTTCCCCGTGCACGAAGTCTCTTTCCTCGTGCACGAAGTCTCTTTCCTCATGTTCCCTTCTACTAAGAAGGCCATTTATATGGGATTAGGTCCCACTCTAAATTCATTTTACCTTAATTACTTCTTCAAAACCCAGCCTCCAAACAATTATAGCCTGAGGACTTCAATATTCAGTACATGACAGTCCCTGTAGGACTATCCTATATTTTAGCCTACATTCTGTGTATTCAACTCCCTGCTCGGGATGTGAAATTCTTCAGGTCATCTCAGGTATGCTAGTCAGCTTTCCATTACTGTAACAGCATGTGTACTATAATCAATTGATAAAGGTAGAAAGTCTGTTTCGGTTCACAGTCCATGCCCAATGGGCCCCATTGCTTTGGGGGGGTGGTGAGGCAGTGCTGGAGTATATGGTGCACCAAAACTACTCACATCATGATCCAGGATCAAAGAGGAACAGAGGGGCTGGGTCTTATGGTCCTCTATGGGGTCATGCTTCCAGTGGTCTAAGTACCTCTTGTCAGGTCCCACCTCTCAAAAGTTCCATCACCTTCTGACAGCACCATGCCAAGATTTTAATACATGGGCTTTCAGGGGAATTCAAGAGTCAAGCTGAAGTGCTGACGTTACTCCACGTGGCTCATTTATACACTGAGGAGCAATAGTGATCTCAGGCTGTTGACACACCACTGGCTGCCCCCAAAGAATAAGGAGCATCTTCATTCCTGAAAAATATAAATAAAATAACATCTTATTAAAGGATCTGAATAAAATAATGCTATTATTAAATAATAAATATAAGAGCCCAGGGTACATTTAGATAATAATAGCTCAGGCTACCAACTGCAGAATATTAGGCTGTCCGTCATGATTAAATGACATCTCAGCGCTTACTATGTAGTTTGAATTTGTAAAGTGATGCCTTGTAGCTTTTATTTTTTTTCTGGTACTGGGAATCAAACTCATGACCTTGCGCTTGCCGGGCAGGTGCTGTGCCGCTGAGCTAAATCCCCAGCCCCAATGCCTTGTAGCTTTGCAGCATCCCTTCTGAGGCAAGCTCCTGGTTTAGCTACAAGGAAATCTCCTATGGCTCCTTGAAGAGTTCCTAAGTTAGGTTGTCAACTAGGTCAAGAGCCCGATGCAGTGAGGTCCCATGTACAAATGAACCAGATGTCCACTGGGCACCCGCCCAACACCCCTCCCTAGCTCTAGATCGGTTCTTCTCACACCCCCTGGGCACCACACAGCCAAAGTTCAGTCCTTTTGCCAAAAGTTCTATACATTTCTGTCACACTCCCAGTCACCTCTGCCTCCAGCTTCTGCTGAATTTCTGTTCTCCACTCTGCTTTCCAGCTGTTCCTGTACTTTTTCCTTGGAGTCCACCCAAACTCAAAACACAGCCCTTGATTCTTTGCTCCTCCTGTTAAAATGCAATGCGTGTGAAGCAGCTGCATGGGGTAGGTTTTTGCTGCCAATTTGATGTCAAGAAAGGTTACACTGCAGGGCCAGAGAGCACTGACTGTAAAACTAAGGAATAGATTCCATCTTTCAAAATGTTTCCATTGACTCTAATGTCACTTCCCCACTATTGTGATGAGAAGCTGCGGGTCCTTTCTCCCTTTTTCTTCTCTACCACTTCCAGAAATAGAGTTCCCCCAAAGTGAAATGGGAGCCAGCTGGGAATAATGAGCTTCTGGAACTTGATATTCATGGGAAGGGATGAAGTGTTAGCATGGAAGCAGGATTTGCACAAGTTCTGATAGAATTTAGGAAAAGATGACACTAGCCAAGCCAGAAGTGTTTGGGCTTTGTCACAGGAGCAAGTGACCCTTTACCAAGGTCTCAAAGGCTGAAGAGGAGGAATGAATCCTCCTTCCATTCTTCACGGAGGGAGGAACAGAAGTGGTGAAGTAGCATAATCCATGAGGCTGTAAGAGGGAGAAAATAAGACCTCTTTCTTACCCCTAGGAAGGGTCCTGATTGTCACCACTGTCACAAAAGGCAGATTAATAAGAGAAAACCACAGCAAATTATTTAACAAAGTTTTAATGACATGTGGGGTTTCAGAGGCAAAGACACAGAGACCCAAGGAAAACTGTATTTTCATGCTAAATTTGATGAAAGAAGGGGACAGTAGATTGAACAAAGTGGTCTCCTCTAATGCTATAAGGCCATGTGGGGCAGGGAGCTCCAGTAAAGCCTGCTGCTTCAGATTTCTTTCTGTGTCTGTCTGAGACCTTCCTTCCTCCATGGCTGGGTAGGACACCTGACATAAGGACATCTGTTATGATTTATATGTAGATGTCCCCCTAAAGCCTCCTGGGACCATGGGTGGGACTGCAGGAGGGTGATTGGACTAGAGGGGCAGCATGGCTGACTTGCTGTTAGGAGGTTGGTCACTGTGAGCACAGGCAGAAAGGTTCTGCCTCTCTTCCTGTTGCTTCCTTAACTCTGCTTCCTGTCTGCCATGCTGTGAGCAGCTGTTCCTCCACCAGGCCCCTCTATCATGCTGTCCTGCCTTGGTGCCAGCCAACTATGGACTGAAAGATGAGCCAAAATAAACCTCTCTTCCTCTAAGTCCTGAGTGTCCAGTGTTGTGTCTTGGCGATGAGGGAAGTGATTATGATAGCACCTTTTGGGATGATGAGAGGATGGAGTAACCTTCACAGATTCTCTAGATTTTTATGACTTTAGAGCAGAAGAATTCCCATGTGTATGATCAACTTAGGTGAAGAAATGAAGAAAAGAAAAGAAGGGCAAGCAAAGGTCTGGGAGAGCTTGCTTCTGAGGTTTTTCAGACCTGTAGTCTAAGTGAGCAGCCTACCAAGCTGCCGCACTCAGGTGTTACAGTCTGAGGCCCAGTGGGATGGAACAGAAGGTCCTAAGAACTAGAAGCCTGAGAAATAAGAGTAGAAGCAGGCTGGGCCCCAAATTTCCAAGAGCCTGTGTCCACTTGACTGATAAAACGTCAGTTAGTTTTTGTTTTGCCTTTAACAGAATTTTCTGCAAAGGGTTTTTAAAGATCAGAGGACAGAGGACAGAGGCAATTGATTTCTTCAAGAAAAACTTAAGATCCTGCAATGATTGGAGGGTTTCCTACTGTTTCTTTTATGACAGCAGCTCCGAATGACAGTCAAAAGGGTTAGAATTGAGTCCTGCTGCCCAGTGCTCTTCAAATGTGTTACGTGTGAGCCAGCTGGGAATGGACAAATATATTAAAAACTGATTTAGAGTTTTAGCTCTTGCTTTTATTACAAATCACTTTTAGAAGTTATCTGCGGTAAATGTGAGTTTTTATTGATGTATAGTTCCCCAATTTTAACCTACATATATAAAGTCTGGTAACCATCACCATAATCAGAACATAGCGTCCTCACTCCAAAATTGTGATACAAGAGATGATGACATATTTTCAGTTGAGATTGTCATGTGAATACTATTTATAAATATGTACAATATATTTGTATAGTAACCCATGTTCATAATTTTTGAATGAAAAGTCATATTTTAGAAGCATATGTTTAAAATGTGTTTTACAAATGAAAGTATAGGAACAAAGTGGTTGGATATGTCCTATGTAGATAATACAGAACATGAGTCACTTATTGGAAAACATTATATAAGCCGATTTCTTTAAGACGGTAAATGGGCAGTTGAGCTAAAACTGTTGTGAAGCAGACCAGGAAGCTGGTGGATCAAGTAGGAGATGATGGTAATTACTCAATCAAGAGGTGCTGAAGGCCTGGCTAGATAGCAGCAGGGGAGAAAGATGGATATAGGAGACTTCAGGGGAAAGGTGGCAGGTGCTGGTAAATGGATGTGGGCCACAGGAGAGGGGAAGTTGAACATCGATGTCAGGTGCTCTGCCTGGGAGCAAGAACTGGACATGGGGCCACTGATGGACATGTGACCCCAGAGGGTGAGGTGGATTGTGGGGTGGTGAGCAGCTGATCGATACAATGTGAACGACGTGAAAGGGAGTGAGTGCTGGGGTGCACAGTACTTGGATTACTTTTGGGATTTATGGTTGATAGTTCTAACCTGTTGGAGGCAGTTAAAAGATACACAGGCCCAATTCCCATACGAGTCACCTCATATTCCTGGAAATGCGCTTTAAGAGAGAGATTTCTTAATCCTTGTGGAAAATTTTCTTCAGACTTTTGGACAACTAAACCTCAGGATTTCTCTCCACTGGAAAACATGGCATCTAAGAGCCAATAATTACTACTGCCTAACAATTTGCTATGAGTTCTAGTTTTTTTTTTCCCGGTACTGGGAATTGAACTCACGACCTCGCGCTTGCCAGGCAGGCGCTATGCCGCTGAGCTAAATCCCCAGCCCCTGAGTTCTAGTTTTTAATTTCTGCACATATGATGTTTGCTTTTTTGTGACTTGCTTATTTTACTTACTGTATCCTTCACTTCCACTCACTTTGATGCAAGCAGCAGGATTTCATTTTCATTGTTGAATAGTATTCTATTGTACATAGTACGGACCACACGTTCTTTGTCCATTCATCTATTGATGGGTACCTTGGATGATCCCGTATCGCTGCGACTGCAAATAAACACAAATAAACATGGAGGTGCAATAATCTCTTCAGTGTGCTGACTTCACTGCCTTTGGATATACACCCAGGAGTGGTGTTGCTGAGAAACCAAAATAGTCAGACAAGAAAAACTACTTCTTGTGGTTTATAGGCTAGTCAGATAACTATAGTCTACAATAATGCGTAATCTATCAAATATATAACAATAACTAGAAGAGTCTGAGTGTTCCTGACACATAGAACTGATTAATGTTTGAAGGAGAAATGCCAATTACCCTGAATTGATCATAACATCTTGCACACATGTATTGAATTATCAGACTGCACCTCATAAATATGTAAAAACATTACATTAACATTTAGAAAACTTACAAAAGAAAAAAAAAAGAGTCACCCTTCTTGGGGAGCACATTTTCTCTTTTATATGCTCATTCTCGAAGGTTCAGTAGGATATGAGAGAAGGGCTAGACCCAGGAGGGATGGAGATTAGGGTCAGCTTGGGAAGATGGGCTTGTTTCTTGCAGCAGATACCTGTTTATCTGTGCAGCCAGGTTGGAGACTATACTGGGCAAAAGAGGAAATTTGGGAAGGTCTGGGTTTAGTTTAGAGCAAAAGCTAAAGACTATAATTGCAGGACGGTAGACAGGGTCTTATTTATAATCTGCTATCTTGAAACTTTGGTGGCTGTTTTGAACAGTGATAACAGAAAAGGCCTGTACCCCAAAAAGTATGTGAGCAAAATTAGGAGAAAGTTGGATGCAGATGTACTCCTTAATTTGAGAAAAATAAGCAAGATGTTAAGCTTTACTGATATTTAACACATGCCTTGGGAGTAAGTGGTACATGTGTATAATTTATAAATAAATGTCACATTGGACATGCCTGCTCAGAAATATTTTACTGATAGGAACACATGATCCAAAGAGTTTGGACTTTATTTGTGTACCAGAAAGATGAGAAGCAGGCAGGCTAGAAGGAGGCAGATGGGTTTTTATCCTGACGAGGATGTGGGGGCGGAGGGGTGCCCAGGGAGTCAGATGAAGGGTAGGTGTGATGGTATTTAGGAGGGGCGTCTAGGGGAGTAGGTGATGGATGGGTTGTGAGTGAATCTTTGAAAACACCCTTATCCTTGCACTGAAAACTTAGCTCTGCCTTCCTAGCACTTCCAGTGAGGGGCTGTCATTCTGTAATGGTGATCTATTCCAACTCCTCACTCCTGGAGTTTCTCCTCACGGTCATGTGGAGCTGTATCTCCCGTCATTCAGTGGATGCTAAATAAATGTTACAATATGAACATTACACTAAATGGTTGACTAGCTTAAAATTAGGAGATATATATTTTTTAGTAAGAAAATGGTCTCATCATTTTGCTTTATGAAGGAACTAATAAAGCATTATGCTATACTATGGAATCAAGGTTTGTAAAACCAGCCCTAGGATTCTGTGTTACAGTTTGGAAGTTACTGGCATCAGTCATTTGTTGATTTATTTGAAGTTTATATGGTAATTAGGACACTACCAAATACTCCTGTTTTACAAACTGTAAGTATAAAGGTCAAAATTCACCCTAAAAGTTATTTTCTCCTTACTAAGACGTGAGTCCAAATTAGCCATAAAACTTATTTTCAAAGCATTTCCTTTCAGCCCCTTGAGGAATGCTGACTATTCAGCAAATAATAGCTGCCTCAAGAAGATTTTGGGTCCTATGATCTGGGTGAAGCTTTGCACCAACAGCTGCTTATCTCATGAATGGAATTTCCTGTTAATATTTTTGCAGGCTAATTGTTCATCAAAAGTATAACAAATGTCAACAAATATCACAAATGTGTTGCGTCTTAATAGCTAAGAGACAGCAGAAATAGTTCAGATGTTTGACTTGCTGGTGCTTAGAAGGCAGTAGCACAGTCTTTACCTCTTGTAGCGAGGCACTCTTACAGGATTAATGCTATTCAGAGCCACCATTTGGTGCAAATGCCCCCTTTCCTTTCAATTTACAACATATGGCTTCCGATAGGCCCAGGGAAGAACCAAAGCTGAGACTTGAAGCAGTAGTTTAAAGCACTTTTGTTTTGGGTGAATTTCTCATACTTTTCACCCCGACCACACTTGGAAATAAATTTTCTCAGAATGAAAATGCTTCAAGAGAACTATAAAATTTTTTGGCACCAATCACAAAGATGTCTCCTTTTGAATGTCAGATGAGATCTGCTCAGGGTGGAGGTCCTAGAGGTAGGAAGTCACATCCCCAGGACAGCAGGACTCCAAGGTCTGGATCAGAGGTGGAAGTTTAGGGTCAGTACGAACTTCTTGGAACACAGGACTTGGATTTAAAAAAAAAAAAAAGCATTGCCACTTGGGCTTTTTTTTCCTCTCAGTAAAATTAGCATTTTGCATTCAAGTGTAAACTCAGGAGCTGATTTGGGAAGGTCCTCAGGGAAAAAAAAGCACAACATTCTGTTCTTGTTCAGACTACCAATCATGCCCTATTTTCTTTTCCTGAGCCCTAACAAATTTAGAATTCAAGGCATCAAAACCCAGCTCCAGGTCTTTGTGTTGATCTCCTCCTGATGGTGTTAGGCTTTATTTCTCTTGCAGATGAAGATGAAAATAGGCTTCTGGGAAGCAGAGGACCCCTTTTGACTGGTTGGCATCTTCCTCTGAAGAGGGAGCTGGTACAGATCCAATGCATCTTAGAAGCCACCCATGGAAAATCCCATACCTGATCTCACATGCTGGGTCACAGGCAGAACACAACTGCCTTGAAATATTGCATGAAATTCCCTTCAGGCAATGTGTGCTAGGTGTATATGAAACTTATGTGAAGTTTGCATTCAGCTTTGGGTCTCATTCCCAAGATATCCCATCAGGTATATGCGAGTACTCCAGAATTTGGAAAGAAATCTGACATGAAACAGTTCTGTCCCAAGCTTTTGGATAAGAGGTATTTAACCTATAGTCGCCTAGGTACTGGGGGCCATTTTGGGGGTTACAGAGAAGGGATTTTAATTACTCACACCGCTGCTATTGCATCCATTCCTGTACATTTTAAGCCATAAATGTTCTCTCTTGGAACCTAACTTGTGCTTAGTCCCAAGTATCCCCCGGTGTGACAATCAGCCTCCCACACCACGGCCACCTTCTTCTCGTGCCTGGGTGAAGGCTACACACACAGCCAGTTGTCACCTACAGGCCACTGACTGTAACTCATGCTCTGTGTTTATACATAGTGATTGTTATGGTTCTGTAAATCTATTTTCCGGAGTAGTAACAGTCCTGTAACAATCACAGCATATGCTCATGCATGGGACAGACACTCACTGAGGGTCATTTCCCAAGTGCTTTACTGTGTCCAGGGTAAATAAAAAAGTTTTCCTGTCCCAGTGTTCTTGAAATAGGAAGATGACAGGAAGAAGTTGGCCAACTGTGACGTAAGGACCACGTCTCAGGACATGTCCTGATTTTGGAGGCCTTACTAGCTAAGAATATGAAGGATTAAAAAAAGAAGAGTAAGCAACAGGGGTATATACGAATGATAAGCCTAAAATATCTATTGATGAAACCATTAGATCAAAGATTTGCCCACTTTTGGCACAAGGATTATAATGCAAGATCTTTATCAGGAGGAAGGTTAAAAGGGCTCTGGAGTCCAGAGGAGGGAAATACCGGTCTTTACGCATAGGATCAAAGAGAGTATGTGGATGGAGCAAGCGAACTCTGAAGAAAAGATGAAATTACAACACAAGGAAATGGGATGGAGAAGAGGAGAGAGAGGAAGAATCAGCCTATTGCTTCTCACTCCTAAATGCAATGCATACTGGGGAGCTCTGAAAGTATATTTGTTCCAAATCCTAAATGGAAACCAAAATAAACTTGCCTATATTCTAAGTTGGAAACTTTCCACGCAGAGAAATAGTTACTTCAAATGACTTTTGAACTCAGTACTGCATCTAGAATCCTCTAATGGGAAATAACATTAAGGATGAAAAGAACTATGGCGATCTTGAATGTTTCTTAGTAAAAGCATAAGGCTGGCACTGTAATTGTGAAACTAATTTATTTGTCTTAGGAGGTAAAGTGAAGTAACAAGTATGATAATTTTATTAAGAAATAAGATTGCCAGTGTGAAGGCAAAAGATACAGTAAAATATCAAATAACAAATGAATGGTGTTAAGAAAGTGAATCTCATTGGAAATATTGCTATGAATTTGTGACTTACGAGTGTATGTCTTAGTTTGTTAATTTAGATTAAGCACATGTGTATGTGTGTATAGTAGTCTTGAGACACCTGCAGTCTAGGCTTGGTTTCTAAATACCATTAAAAGGACCCAGATCTCTTGGAAAAATGGGTGATTTGGGTACAAGGAAAGTTGAAGGTAAAAGGAGGATCTTATTCTAGAAAGCAATAACTGTCAACACCGCGGGGAGTCATGTCAGAAGGTCTTAGGACCAGATTGATCAGACTCCCTAAAGGATCAGTTTAGGACACTGAGCACTGTAAAGAATAATAGAAATTAGTAGTAGAATTATCTTAGCTATCTTGTATATATCTATATCTATCTATCTATCTATCTATCTATCTATCTATCTATCTATCTATCTAATTTTTCCCCACTTCTTTTTCTCCTTTCTCCCATCCCAGTCATTCTTTCCTTTAGAATAGTTTCTTTGCCTTTCACAATATCTATTGTACCTTTTGGATCCTATTTACACTTTCAGTTTCTTACACTAATTTCCTATCATCTTGTTTTGAAATTTTGTATTGTTTTTATTGCTTTTTTCTCTCTCCAATAAAGAAAATAATAACTATTGATTGGAAAATATAGAATACAAATTCTAGTTCTGTAGTTATAAAAAAAGAAAGGAGAATGAGAAAAAAGGGTCACTTGCTCCTGCAGTTGACATCTTTTAAACCATTTCTGCTAATCATTAGTAACGAGATGGGAAGATTATCACTCATTCCACCTTTACAAACACAACTATGGTTGGTCTCAATTTGGTGAGGACATCTTTTTTTCATAGCAAAATGTCATGGAAGAATATAAAGAATGGTGAAATTTTAAAAATATTTCTGTAACTCACATATTGCAGATAGGGATGTAGATGATTGTGATGATTTGTGTCTGGATGTCCCCTCAAAGCCTCATGCAGTCATAGGGAGGGCTTTTAGAGTTTGTGATTGATCCATGATCCAGTGCTGGGATTATGGGTGTCAGTGCTACACCGCCTTGGGGCAGATAGTTTGCATATATAAGGGAGAGAAAGAGGCTGCCCATCTGCTCTACTCCCTTTTGCTCTTGCTGCTTTTGCTGTCTTCCACCACCATGAGCGATTGCCCTCTGCCATGTGCCACTCTGTGTTGGAGCCAGCCAAGTATGGACTGAAACCTCCACAAACTGTGAGCTAAATAAACCTTTCCTTCCTTAATTTTGGGCTTCAGGTATTTTGTCCTAGCAACGAGAGAAAAGTAACTAAGACAATCATATAGCCACTATGGAGAAGATCTTAAAAGTTTTTTTTAAATAAAATTAAACATACATTTATTAAACAATGTAGCAATACTATCTGTAAGTATTTACCCAAGCAAAAAGAAAATTTATGTTACACAAAGACCTAGATGAGAATATTTTTACAACTCTATTATACTGTAAACAACCTGAACATGACCCTCAGTGGATATACAATGGATTCCATGTGATGGAATACTATTCAGCAACACAAAAGAAGAAATTACTGATACAAGTAACAATGTAGATGGACCTCAACTGCTTTTTGCTAAGTGAAAGAAGCCAAAATTAAAAGGTTGTACAATGTTTGAACCTGGGTGTGTGACATTCTGGAAAAGCGAAGTCTAAAGTAACACAAGACAGATCAGTGGCTGGGGTTGGGAGAAGAGTTGACTATAATGGGACTTAGAAAAAATTTTGGTGAGTGGTGAAATTTTCTATATCTTAATGGTTGTGGTGGTTACAGAAATGAATACATTTGTCAAGATGTACATAACTACACAGTAAAAAGGATGGATTCTTACTGTACATAAGTAATGCCTTAATATTGTAAAAGCAAAACAAAACAGCAGCAATGACAAAAAGACCCCCAAAGCCTACACTAAACAGAGTATTTTGCAACACTCAATAAAATAATCCTTTTAGGCAACTGTCAACAGGGATGCTAAAAATATATCCAGCAGGTCAGATTTTGTTTGGGGAAATAGGAAATTCAGAACCAGAGCATCACTTCATAGATCCACTGTTAATTGTGAATACAAAAATGAATTTGAGCTAAGGAGGGGGGCAGGATGGTCATTTTTTAATAAAGAGATCAAACTCATGCATTACTAACAGTATGACCACCTGGCAGTATGTATTACTTGGTGTGATGTGAATTACCCATCTTACGTGCACTACACTTTCCCCAAATTTATTTTAATTTAAAATCTATCCCTTAATTTAAATCTATCCCTTTATTATTTATTTTATTTTATTTTAAAGAGTCAAAGATGGACAACATAGCAATAGGGGAATTCACTGAATTACAGACAAAGTGGTAGGACATTATCAATGGTTGTTATTTTACCTATTGGTATCTTCAAGATAGTTTCTCAGGAAAACAAATAGACAAATAATAGTGAGTTACAGACAAAGATGGCAGGAAACTATCAATGGTTGTTGTACTACACCCTGGTTTCTCCAAAGTGGTCTCTAGGGAAAACATATAGAGCTATACATGAATAATCAATCAAATAACCATTGACTATTCTCAATGCTTGTTGCTGAAAACACATAGTAACAAACATACATTCATTTATGAAATAGCATAGGAACAATACAAACATTACAGAGTTATGGACAGATTGGTAGGAAATCATCAATGGCTGCTGCAATACATGTTGGCATCCTCAAAGTGGTTTCTCAGGAAAACAAAGATGTGCAAGAAAGAGCCAACAAGTAGTTACAGCCCAAGGGTTGCAAAAAATAGTGGGTTACCTCCTTATCAGTGACTCCCCTCACTAGGGTGTGACGGCTGGAAGGAAGGCCAGGGCTGAAAAGAAGGACCAAGAGACCAGCACCAGTGTCCAGCAATAGGCTGTCCACTTTTTCCTCTGTACTCACGGTTTTGTGGGGCTCCTCTTAGAGACAACGGTCCTTCTCCATGAAGGCGGTTCTACAGAACCTGTACCGGTACCGGAGAAAAACAAAAACAAAAACAACAACAAAAAAATCTTCCTGTCTGTCTTCTTAAAGAGTTAAAATGTCTTCCTGTCTGTCTCTCTCTTATATGATATTGCAAAATATTCACAAATATAATAGGTCTCTGTATTTTCACATAATATTAATTCAACCCTTCTTGATGTTTAAAACTTTTATAACAAAAAAGTAGGGGAAAAATTAATACCAGATTCTTCTCCAGACTAAATAAATCAGGCTGTCTTGGGGATGGGAACCAAACTACGACATTTTATTTCATAAGTTCTCCAAATGCTTCTTAAAAATACACAAAACACCCATTTTGTTTTACTCCTGGACGCTGTTGGTCAGGAATTCAGACAGAGCCAAGGGAGGATGATTTATCTGTGCTCAACAATGTCTGGAGTCCCCGCTGGGGCATTCTGATGACTGGGGCCAGCGTCCATGGCTACATCTTCACACATGGCCAGCAGTGGAGCCTGGCTCTTGGCTGGAAGCTTGACCGGGCAGTTAGCCAGAACACTGGTGCGTGGCCTTCCCACAGGGATGCTCTGCATGGCCTCAGGTGATTTTAATGTAAATGCAGAGTGTCATCATTTTCCCCAAATGTGAAAAGTCGCAAGTAAACTTTTACTAAAATTCAGAGTCCTTGGCCCTTTTCCCTAGTCTGGGGTGGAATCTATTGATATTACAGTTTGGAAAACACTGACCTAGGGCATCACCTACTCTTTTAAGATCCAGATCTGTCAGGAACCAGGTACCAGATACCACAGAAGAGAGGAAATGTCTATGTTTTTGAAACTTGGATAGATTATTTCTTGGATTTCTGTATCTTCTTGCTGCCTGCAGCTTTGCCTTGCCCTTGGGTATGAATAACAGTTCTTCCCAGGCTAGGTTTTTGCTGCTTTAGTTGAAACACTTGTCTTATCTGATTGAGCCATTGGAATGTCCTTTCTCAAGACGTGATTATGTAGAAATAGAAATCAGATGGGTTTGGGGAACTGTGGGAGAGAGAAAATGAAGGTAGGAATCCAGTTCTTTTTTTTTTTTTCTTTTTTTTGGTTTTGTTTTTTTTTCAGTACCAGGAATTGAACTCACAACCTCGCGCTTGCCAGGCAGGCGCTGTGCTGCTGAGCTAAATCCTGTTCTTGAATGCCAGGCTAGTGAATTTGGTCTGAAATCAACACTATCCAGACAGGATTGGTCATGAGTTCAAAATGATCAGGGATGTGGTTTAGGAAAATTAACCAGGAACAGAGAGAATCTGGAGGAATGGAGAACATGTTAAGGCCTAGGAAAGAGATACAGGGCATCTATAACACTGGTCTTCTATTTTTCCTTCATTGTTGATTCTCAACCAACAACAACTCCTCTTCTTCCCTGTCAACAGAGTACTTTTTTTGTTTGTGCACCACAAGAAGATGTGTTCATGGAAGAGTTGCTCCTCATCCACTCCCGGGGATGAGCACTGATTCCAGCACTGCTCAGTAGAACATTCTCTGAGGACAGAAACTGAATCCATGGAGCCCTCCTGCTTCATCAGCTATGGAGCCCTTGAAATGAGGATTGTGTCACTGAGCAACTAAATTTAAAATTTTCTGTCACTTTAACTTAAACCTAACTTGCTTCACGTGCCTGGTGGCTGCCGTATTGGCACAGAGACCCTAGACTGTGATACTCCCATTCCCCTCTGCCAAGGGTTGGTATGAACATCGCCATGTGGCCCATTCCTGACCTACAGCCTCCAGCAGAAAAGGATGGAGATCAGGGAAGAATTTTCTGGTCTGCTAAAGGACAGAAATGCCTAGCAGCTTGCATCTTTCTGATCTCTTGTCCCGTCTCATCCTACAGGTTCCCATCTGTCCTGCACGTTTGCCTTGTGCAATGCGGAAGTGTGCTGCTTTGTGACCATGAGCAGATGATATAAATAAGTTAAGATGATCAGAACTGACACTGTATAGTGCTTGTTCCATGCCGGTTCTGGCTAAGCAGTTTCCACGTACTAATTAGTGCCACCCACAGCGCTGGGAAGGAGGCACTAGTGTTAGCCCAGTTTGCAGCGGGGGAAGCTGAGGCTCAGCGAGGCTTGGTAAATCGTACGAAGTCCCACAACCAAGAAGCACCAAAGCTGGCACTTGAGCTCAGGGTGAGGTGAGAGGAGATGGGTTCCTCACTGCCTTTCTAGAACAGAGAGAATTAAAGAGAAGTTAAAGAAGGCGGGTACAGCCCGCCTGTCACTGCCCTTCATTACCTGAGATAAATTCATGCCCTGTGTTTAAAGCTAGCTTACATTGGGTCCCCTGTGTTTATACCCTTGAACACCCTCAGCGACACCAGGGTCTTTGAGTGTGTCTCTTTTACTCAGCATACTTGATTGAACCCTTCCTCTATGCAGGGCTGATTCACTGCACAACACAATGGCCTTGGAAATCATCTCCATTTCAGCACATAAGCAATCCGTCTAAGGCTGGGGATCTCTCGTGTTACAATACCACAAGCTGACACCTCAGGGGGATTCCATACTACGCTCCAAGTACGATTCCAAGTACACGCCCCTCCCAGAGCATACTTACAGCAATGCTCAGGCTTGCACCATCTGCCTGTTTATTCTAATTCAGAAAAAGAAAAAGTTGGTTCTAAGGCACTGTGGGAAGGAGAAGCTCAAAGGCATGTGGAGGCTTTAATGTATGTCTCAGAGGCTGCAGTCTCCAGCCTTAACATTTCAGCCCCAGTTACTCATCACGGTCTCACTGCGTAGTCAGTGTCTGGGTTTCCCCAGTACCCTGATTCCTTTTCTGTGACTAAGAATTTAGCAGGACTTGAAGTTGTGTTTCACTGCGCAGTTGGGTGTGATTCGGAGGTAGACGAATGTTCAATCGCTTCAGTGGGAGCAGACATCGGCTTGGGGGATAATGCTGAGACCACTGGCCCGTGATGGTGCCCAGCTGAAGACAGTTGTGGGAAACCCATCCACATAGCTGTCCTTTTTCCTTCTTTCTCCTTCCCTTCCCCAGCCTCCCCCCACCCCACCCTCCTATTTCCTCCAGATCACATCCAAGGACCAAGTACCATCAGGGCTGCGCAGCTGCAGCGAGTGGGGTGATCCTAGAGGAAGGAAGAACACATCTAAAATGGCAGAGAGTCTGGGCTCCTTCCTCACAGTGGTCTTCATTTCTCTCTTCACTCATTTGCTAAGGCATTACTAAGCATCTACTAAGCAACTAAGCACCTAAGGGTACTAAGTACTGAAAACACCATGGCAGAAGATTTCTTCCTGGGAGAAAAAAGCAGACTTCTTGAGGATTCTTCCAGAGCTGTATATCTTAATCTTACTTCAGCATTTGGTGTCTGCAGAGGCCCAGCCTTATCATGGCTCTGAGACAAATAGGCTTTGCTGACCCACTTGTTGTAGGCCAGGGTAAGTTCCGGTGCTTTCCCCTGGGATGTGGGTACCTGCAGACCCAGGCCTCAAACCCGCATCTGCTGACTCAGTTGTTCTCCTCAGACACCTTGAGCCAGTCTGGCCTGGTCAAGGCCAAACAATGCAGGCTCTGTGCTGTGTTGGAGGAGGCTCTCTGGGATCCTGGCACCGGGAGCCCCCCATGGTAAGAAAAAGGGGACCCCAGGCAGTCTCCTGCATGATCCTGCTGGCTCGTCTTTGAAGTAAAGAACTCAGAGATCAAAGGAAATATTTGGTTGAACTCAGCTATTCGTCCTTGATCTGCTAGAAACTTTAATTTAATTAGCAACGTAAACAGAGCAAAGACTTCATTTTTTCAACTTGGTTTAACTGATTTCTTTGATTTCTAAATGACTAGGAACAACTATGGGGGAAAAGTCTCTAAAATATTCATGTAAGATGTAAACTAGGCAATACTTCTGACTCATGAGAATTTTCTGGTGGTACTGACCCAAATTTTATAGTTCTCATGCTCCAATGAGTAATAAGCTATGGTGGGAACTATTTTGGACTAAATTGCCTAGTTGTTTCCAGAAGGGCAAACTTCCCAGATTCCTTGATGTTTGAAGGAATGAACAGTGTTTTCTGAAGGAGAGAACTATGACATTCCTTAAGTCAGGAGCTTGGTGTATGGCTAAGGTATTCAATCCTTGCGAGCGTTGTAACATAGGTGTTAGTCCCTCTAGTTCAGAGAAGAAGCCAAGTGTCATCCTACAGTCACAGAGCATAGCCTTTAATTCATGAGGGCAAATGCGAAGCCCTACTGTGTGTTAACTGCTCATTACATGTCTCACTGACTTTAGACTGTTAGAAATCACCTGCTGTTTCTCCGTATGTCAGAGCTGATAAGAATCAGGCTTGGTGCTTAAAGGACCTGCACACATCCTTGATCATGTAGAGACAACACTCAAGCTACTAGCTCTCCTGAGTGGGATGTCTTCCCTGGCACCTTTGTGGATGGTAAAGTAATTGAAGTGTGTGCCAGGCAATGCAGACCACCTATGGGGTCCTGGAGGAGATGCTTCATCTCGGGCTGTCTGGCTTGCCTGAGAGAGGAGATGACGAAGCAGTTGCTAAGAGTGGCCTGCCAGGCATTCACGCCCAAGAGACAGCTCCCCAGCTGCTAGTGGGGCGAGTGTGTGCAGGAGCTATGTGCCCAGCCTTCTTCTGTGTGCCTGTGTGCACATCTGCTCTATGCCTTTGCTCTTGGGAGGGTTCCATGTGGAAGCAGAGACGCTCCTGGCCAAGATTTCAACCTGACCAATGTCTTGCCAAACCTGTGTTTGCTCTCCGTGGACGTGGGCAGTGTGTGGGGAGACCTCTTTAGCTTCCCAGATCCCACAATGGGAGGCTACAGGCAACTCTGCTAACCAATGACATGCTTAGATCTGGAGCTACAACTTGTGTCTACAGCCCAGAGTTGTCCTTTTCACCTTCACCTGCTGACAGAAAGCAAAACTTTGACAAGGGACCAGCAATATTAGTGACACAAATTCCCTTTCTCCCCATCAGGTCTTACTTGTAGAGAGAGAGAGAGAAAGAGGGAGGGAGGGACGTCACAGGCTAGGTGTCGAGAAGCTCACAACAGACAGATAGGCCAGTGTTTCTTCCCAATGCAAGAGCCACTAGCGGTGGCTTCGGTCCTGGGGAGCCGTGTGCATCGGTGCATCCTAACACGACTCCAAAGCTGTCCAAATGCAGAACGCACACAGATTGAGTCTTCAGACACCCAGCGCTATTTGTCCCTCCTCCCTCCACCCCTGGCCTCCCCACCAGCAGTTCTTGAGCTGGGAAACTTTTAAGCTTCTTACTGGAATTTGCTACATGTGGTTAAAATCCCCAATGAGTAAAATGTGAGCCTGGCATAAGTAATCAGTTTGTTTTAGAATCACATTCGAAATAAAAAGTTACAGTGAGATAGGTTCCTTCCTAGGGCAGCTCCTAATGATTTCTCTGAAATCTTAATGGCAATGCAGACTGCATAATTTCTGCTCGAATTGTTTCAGTGTGGGTTCAGGAGTGAAAGGAAGAGGGCGTGAGCGGCGACATGCTCTGGATTTTGTGCAATGCATTTTAGTTTTCTTTCTTTCCCTCCCTCCTTCTTTTCCTGAGTACAGTGGCCAAAATGAGTTGGCAACCTTTGAATGCTGGATCTAGGTGATGGGTAGCTGAAATGTCATCGTTCCTTTCCCCCCTACTCTGGTGCACGTGTGAAACTGTGTAATAAAAATGAAGAAGTAAGCGGGGGCCAAGAGAAATGATCATGGTTCTGGTGTTGAGTTGTTCTGAGCTCCAAAGAGCCACACAGGGAGCTAAACAGAAGCCGGAGTTACATTTAGTTCAAGCTTATTTTCCTGGGAGACTTTTTAAAGAAGTGTTTTCCTAGAACCCTAAAAACGCCCTCAGAAATGGTTTCAACAGGATCCAGCCCAGTGAAGGTCAGAGCAGGCAGCGGTACAAGAGGGTGGAGCGAGGGCAGCGTGCAGTTAGCAACTGGGTGAGACAGCTTCTAAGTAGAGACCTGACCACAGCCATAGGCAGCAAATGAGAGGGGAAGGCTGAGAGCAGTGCTGCTGAGATTACTCATGTAGCCACTATGTATTTCCAACTTTACCAGGAGCCATGGGTAGAGTTTTGGGCTTTCAAACATTCTAAGGTCTGGCTCTTTGGGGAACTCTTGTCACACCAAACAAGCAGAATGCACAGCCGTGCTTGGAGAAACCTTCCCTGTTTCAGATTTCCTGGGGGAAAGAGGAATGCGCGTTAGCAGATTATTCACCTCCCTGTGTCTGGCCAGAGTAAGCCTCCTAGACCAGCTAATGCTCTCGTGGGGCCTGGCAGCTCGGGCTGCCCACAGAGAGAGGCAGCCTCCTTTCTCCTCCACCCTATCGGTGGCCCCAGAGGCATCTCTTCCACAAGGGGCTGCAGGCCCAGGGCACCAGGACCCAGGAAGTGCAGAGGACAGGGAAACCAGGGGACACTAGAGGGACCCCTGACGTTGGTGAGTCCCACCCGGGCTGTTTCTCTTCGGCACTCATTCCCTCCCTGAGGGCCGACTGGTCCCTGCTCCTCTCCTGCTCCTCTCCTGCTCCTGGGGGAGAATCCCTCCAAGAACTTCGGTCTTCACAGGTTGCCCACCTTCTTGGCATCCTTTTTTTCTCTGGACCACTCAGCTGCTCCTTTTTGTATTTCACCCTTGGGGCTGGGGCCTTGGGGAGGCACCATTGGCTTTGATTGCTCAGGACTGATTCATTACTCTTCCTTCCTTGGAAGCTGTTTCTGCTCTGTCCAGCCCTTGGTATTTTGTGAGTCCCTTTCCGCATCCTTTGTCCTTGCTGTCCTCTGGGTGATTTTCAGGTGAATGCTCCCTCCCATTCTCCCATTCATGTAAAATGTGTGTGTGTGTGTGTGCATGCATGTGTGCACGTGCACACACTTGCACACGCATAAAGTACTCTGGCTACCATAGCTGATGACTTGGGCTGCACCTCTGGCTTTGTCCTCACTGATTTGTGCCACTTGGGCCAAGTGTCTTTGTGCTTCGGGCTTGTTCACTCCTGTGTGAAATGTGGACAACGTCCTGTAGCATAGGATCGCTGTGCGAATCACAGGAACAGGTCCCTAGGAAGTGTTTCGCACATCTCCTGCCTGACTCAGCCTGGAGCCTGCACCCACCCATCAGGTGGTTTGTGTTCACCGAGATCCACACGGCTGTGCTATGTTAAAGATTCTCCTGCCTGTGTGCCTTGCCTGTCTGTGGATATATTTTCATAATTCTCCCATTATCAGGATTTGCACGGGGCTGAATCACCCCTGACAGCCCCACAAGCCAGGAGGTCTGAGTACACTCTGACATGATCATCCGTAGCTCATCTGGAGACTCGGCCAAGGGCGGAAGATGCCCTTGATTCCAGGAGGAAGGTTGTCTAGGCGGCTGGCTCGGCAGGGATTTTAGATGACACTTTTCATGAGGCAATGACTCAGCAGCCGGGAAACCATGAGGCCACAGGTGGTCTTCACCATCTGAGCTGAGTGCGGAGCTCGGGAAGGAATGGGATAGGACCTGTGACGTGTGGGACCAACTCAGCATATTCTCTTTTACTCCCATGATTTCCTTTTAATTTCCTTCAGTATTTGTAGAACTTCTAGTCTGTTCCAGCTCTGCTGAAGCACAGCGAAGTAAGGGATTTGTTCCCCTAGGGGTCTGCTGGGGATTTTGTCCTGGTTCAGTGCAGATCTCCACCTCCGTGCTGGGGTGCTCAGAATGACTGTGGCCCATGGAGATGGCGCGACTGAGCCGGTGATCTCCCCGGCTCAGGGACCGTGCAGCCCTGGCCAGGACGTTACAGGAGACCGAGCTCAGCTTGGGTGATCTTTCCCACAGTTCTGCAAGGTGGACCGGCTCTTCCCCAGAGCGCAGCGGGAGGGAGGGAGGAAGAAATTCTGGTAGGTGCAGGAAAATCAGTACTTGTACCACTGTGTTTGAGGCTTTATAAGTTCTCAGAACATCAGGGACGTTTCTACCCGACACACAGTCAAAGGTTGCTTTGTGTCGGGTGTGCATTCGGAGAGACGCCCTGTCACGTGGAGGACTCCGTCCTCATGGGCACCCCCGCTGCACGCCCAGGCACAGGGCACGGTCCGCCATCCCGTGCAGCATCTCCCTGTGCCACGCAGTGTGAGCAGTGGTGACACTGGGTATCTGTGTATCCGAACAGAGAAAGGAGTACGGTTAGATATTGAGCCCTAAGGACTTTTCCGTTCCGCTAAATTTACGGGGTCACCACCATCTGTGCCATCTGCTGCTAACCTAAGTGTCATTGTGCTGCGCGTGGGTGTCCCCAGAGACCCCCGAAGACAACTGCTCCCTGAGCATCATTTTGGAGGATTTACTTTTCTCGTTCAGGTGGGTAATTAAGAATAGGCTACTTTTAAAAGGCCAGACAAGGAAAGGAGTTGGGAATCTGCCTCCCAAGCCACTGGACACCCCTGTGATTAGGACAGGGTGTGTAGCTCTGCTCTGGATTCTGGAAAGCTTAACGGCTTTCTTATCCTTTCCTTTAGGCTATCATGAAAAATCAGAGAAGGTTTATATCAAATACTGTGAAGCTCAGGGGAGCTGGTGGTGGGGAACACTGGCTGAGCGTGTGTGAGGCTCTGGGTTTGATCCTGCACCTCTTCAACACACTCTCAGCTACTCTTAGAAGAGCAGTGCGTTAAAAATGCCAGGCAAAGATGCCTGGGTGAAAACAAGAGACGCGTCTGGAAACCACCGAGAGATGTGCATTTAGAGAGGAATAAAAATCATGTTTTATACTAAAAATGGGAGTATTAGGATTGGGAAGATGGAAAAAAGGGCCGAAAGAAGAAAAGTCTGTAAAACCTTGCGCTTTGTCCGTTGGCCTGTCTGCATTGCCGTCCCCAAATCTTACTCGGCATTTTCTGAACTGGCTTTCGCCTGTTTCCAGGGCTGCCATAGCTGAGCACGGTCAGCTAGCTGGCTTAAATCAGCAGAAATTAATTACCTCCCGATTCTGGAGGCTGGGAGACGGAGTTCGGGTGAGGGAAGGGCTGGTTCTTCTGGGGTCTCTGCGTCCGAGTGCCCCTCCCAGTGCTGGTGGGTGTCGCCTGTCCCTGGGGTTCCCTGGCTTTAGACGCATCACTCCAACCTCCGCCTCTGGGTCCATGATAGGCGCTGTCCAGGCTTGGACCCCGGGCCACCCTCAGGATCTCCTTTGACTCAATTACTTCTGCCGAGACTCTCTTTCCAAATAAAGTCACACTTAGAGATAAGGGGTGCGGGGGTTAGGGTTGCAACACAGTTTGGAGTGTTGTTCGACCCACAGCAAAGACCAGGGTTAAAAGAGATCGTCACGTGACTGGATGACGCCGCGCAGGTTCCCTGCGGCTGCGTAACAGGGCAGCCGAAGCTCAGGCTGGGGACCAGAGGTGCAGGATCCCCAACCGCGCTCAAGTGCCCCAACTTTCGCCTTTCCTGGTTCCCTTAGGCCTTTGCCAGGCCCTCGGGCGCTCTGCAGCTCACAGGCCAAGAAATTCACTTTTCCCTTCATAAATAAACCAAGTGCTTTAAAAAGATGATTAGCTGTGCGGGGTTTGGCGGCACACGCCTCTAATCCCAACACTCTAGGAGGCTGAGGCAGGAGGATCACAAGTGTGAGCACAGCCCGGGAAACAGACTTAGGGAGCTCTTTTCTCAAAATAAAAAAAATAAGGAAGGGCCAAGGATGTGGCTCCGTGTGAAGGGCTTGGGTTGAAAAAAAAATTTTTTTTGGCGATACTGGGGTTTGAACTCAGAAACTCACACATGCCAGGTAAATGCTCTACCTCTGAGGCACCATCTCCAGCCCACAGAGAATCAGGTGCTTTTAAGCAGCATCAGTTGCTTCTTCTGCCCTGTCTCCCCTAACCGCCCCCATCTTCTTGGTCACACGGGGCGCGCATTTGACCACTTGACCTTCCCAGCACTCACCGCGTCCCTAAGGCTGCTCTCCGTCCGACCTCTTCCCGCGGCTTCGCGGCGAGTCGTCCAAGGTCCCCCTGCTCGGGATCCGACGCTGGCGGCGCTCTGGGCTGGGCCCCTTCTGCACGCCCGAGTCAGCTACTTTGCAGCTACTGCTCCCGGAAAATCGATGATCATTGCTTTTATTTTAAGCAAAGACTACCTTACGCACTGTTTGCCTTATCAGGTCAGAAAAACAGCGGCCTTTTCTTTTGCAACTCGCTTTTGGCCTTATTCTTTTTTTTTTTTTTTTTTTTTTTGTTTTTCTCCGGTACCGGGAACCGAACTCACGACCTTGCACTTGCCAGGCAGGCGCTTTGCCGCTGAGCTAAATCCCCAGCCCCGGCCTTATACTTAAAAGGACCTACTAGGGCCAATCAAGGGGCCGAGCCCGTCCTCGTGTGCTTTGGCTGCGGTGCCCTCTACTGGACATGTAACGCATGCTCGGTTCTCACGGTTGACTAGTTTTCCCAGAAATGTTACGAAAGCGTTTCAACAAGCTCCTCGGTTTTCTTCATTGGATGATTGGGTTCCTATTTTATTTCTTGTTTCTTTTTCAACTAAGGTTCACTTCAATCCGCTCATTGTTCCCAGGAAATTTTCGACTGACATCGTTTTCCTCGGCGCAGGGGAGGCAGGAGGTACTGTGAAACGGGCGGGCGAGGGAATCACCGCAAAGGTCTGCGCCGTGCTGCGAACCTGAGATAACGCAAATGCCGAAAACACACTCAGGGCGTAGCTTAAAGCCAAGATTATTATGCTGAAGTTTTTTTTAAAAGCAAGAACAGGGAGATAGACTTTGTGGGGACAGGAGGGGAGGGGCAGAGGAAAGAAAAAGGGTCAAGATTAGCGTGATACGATGTGCGTGCGCATCACCTTCCCAGGATGCGCGTGTCTGTTATGCTTCATAAACATGCTAATTAAAATTAAATGCGAGAAAGCAACGTAACGATAGGAATTAATGCAGTGAGAGCTCCAGCGGCCTCCCAGCGAGAGGAGAGGCGGTGGCCCCGAAAATGTCACTTCCTTGTGCTTTGCACGTGGCTTCCCTTCCCATGTGTCCCACTGTCCCCAAACGGCTCAGCTCCCTGCCTCCCCACCTGAAGGGTCACATTCCCGGGGCGCAGCTGGGTTTGGGGTGCAGGTCCTGCTTGACCCTGAACCTCTGCCCGGCAAGTCCAGGGATCGGAACACAGGTTGTCTTGCTTGGAAAACGACTCTGTGGCTTCTCATGGCTCCTTGAAAGTCACTGCAAAGCGATTGCAGGTCACCGGGCCTGGAGTGTTTACAAACAAGTCAAAAAAGAACAGAAAGCTTCCAGTGATGGATTAAAAAAAGTAGTTATTTAAAAATTCTGGGCTGGGGATATAGATCAGTGGCACAGTGCGTGCCTAGCAAGTGGATGGGAATGAACTGGCTTGCTGGTACCAAAAAAAAAAAAAATTTCCCAAAGGAATGGCACTAAAGATAAATTAACAAAAATGACAATTAACTATCAACAGTCAGTTTTCAAAAGAATAATTTGATACAAAAGATAAAATGTAATTTTAGAGGGCACATTACTTCAAAGGAAAATAGGCTTTATTGGGTGAAATATATATATGACCTAGCATTTAGATACGTATAATATGTACACACACACGCCTTTACTTTCTGTCATTTGACAGAGGAGTGTGGAAGTGTGTGTATTGAACTGACTGTCTGTGGAGGGGCACTACGGGACAGGCTTTAGAAATGGGCTTCCAAAATTTCCCTCTCCATGGCATGAATAAAAGTGTTTCTTGAAATGAGAACTTAAGACCACCGTGTTTGAAGGATATGGAGGACAGAGAGACTTGGTTCTCCCTATCCTGAGACATAGCCCTAAACCTATCCTAAACCTAATCCCAACCCTAACTCTAACTCTAACCCTAATGCTAGCCCTAGCCCTAGCCCTAACCCTATTGCTAGCCCTAGCCTTAGCCCTAGCCCTAGCCCTAGCCTTAGCCCTAGCCTTAGCCCTACCTTAGCCATAGCTGTAGCCCTAACTCCAAACCTAGCCCTAACCCTAACCCTAACCCTATCCCTACTGGCCTCACCTGGTGGTGGAGGACCTGTGAGCTCAGGCCTTGGAGACTGCAGAAGCCAAGGGACCTGGAGACCTTCTGGGTTAATCCTCCTGTGAATCACCCCAGACCAAGGGTTTGTCCCCTCACATATAGGACCTCCTGGAAGGAGGCATGGCTTCCCTGGAAGTCATATTCCAGGGCGCAGGAATGCTGGCTTTCAGAAAGGAAATGTGGAGGCTCCTCAAATCTGTAACTGAGGTTCAGAAAGGGCCTGAGATCACTTGTTAACTTTCTTCAAGTGACAAGGGTTTGAATGAGCCTCAGAGAGAGAGGCCGAGCAGGGGATCAGTAACATTGTGTAGATTTCACTCTGTGGGAACCACATAGTCCAGTGTGTGGCCTTCAGCAGTGGCTTGCAGCCCCCGGAGATATCTCAGTGGGTAATGTCACACTCAGTCCCAGCCTCCAAGGTGCAGTGTCACTTTCTTAGCACCTGAGCCTCTGCCTGGAGCTGAAACACTCAAATTTGCCTTTCTTGAGCGCCTCTGTCTGCTTGGACCCCTTATTTTATTTTCCAATGCTTTCTCATATCCGTGCTCAATAAGACCTTATTTTACAACTATTTAATTGATGCTTTTCCAAAGTTAATTCCCTTTTCATATGTGTGTTCCAAACTGACCACAACATTCTAATATTTACAGTAGTTTAACGCCCTATGGACATTGAGCATTTAAAGCATTTCCAGGCTTTGCTACTGTGCATTAAGAACCTAACAGTGCATCTCCTCCTGTGCATGTGCGTGTGCGTGTGCGTGTGTGTGTATGTGTGTGCACGTGTGCTGTCTTTCAGTTTTCTCATTCAGTCTTCCTAACTTTGGCATTAGTTGTGTGTTTACACTAATGAACTCAGTTTTCTGGTTGTGGTAGTGGCTCTGTAATTGGTTCTTAGCATCATGTCTACATACTAAGCCAGGGGACATCGGAAGGTTACCTAGTTGCAGTTATAATTAATTAAGGAATTGAAAATGAGGAAATCACTCTGGTAACCATGACAAAGTCCACATAGAAGACACAAACGGAGGAGACACCCCAGGAAGGCGACCTAAAACGGAGACGAAGGTTGGCAGGAAGCGGCCACAAACCAGAAGCAGCTTCTAGAACTGCTGGCAGCTATCAGGGGCTTCCAAGAGGCAAGGAAGGGTCCTCCCCCAGACGCTTCAGCTGACCCCTGGGTTCTTGATTTCAGGTCTCCAGTCTCTAGAGAGAGTGAGTTTCTAGTGTTTTAAGCTGTCAAGTTTGTAGTAACTCCATGTGGCAACTACAGAAGGCTAACATAGTCTCTAGCACTTAACCTGTGTTCTGCACATTTCCTACCGGGTGCTAGTTAGCCGCTGCTCCATTATTTCATGCTATTTGCCGACTGTCATCCTGTTATTCCATCTTCTGGGTCACCCACCTCGACTATTTTGTGTATTCTATTCTTTGCTTTACAGTCGCCGGTTTATGGGCTGTGTCTAGAATGGAAGACTTGTGTCTCTCTACCAGTCAACAGAAAACTAACTGGTTTCTTTCCAACTCACATATTTTGGAGCAAAAGCCCAGAAAACTTGTAGATGGCAAGCTGGAAATCGCAGAGAGAAATATGAGTGACGTGATGGTGTTTTTGAGCAATATACTACTTACACTCTTCTGGCAGTTCACGCATGGCTTGGAGATGGATTTGCTGGGTTGGAATCCAGCTTTGCTCGTTGATGGTGGGAAAGTGATGTATCTTTCTTGGCTTTGATTTCTACATTTATCAAATAGGAGTAATATGTATGCCAACTCATGTACAACTCTTCGGTGAGTTTTAAGTGAGGAGGTGATTTTTATAAAGTTCTTTAGAATGACCCCTGGGACGGACTGACCAGAGAAATTTCAGCTATCAGCTAGGCATTGTGGTGCATGCCTGCAATCCCAGCACTCTGGTAGACTGAGGCAGGAGGATCTCAAGCTTAAGCCAAGCTTAGGAATTTGCAAGACTCTGTCTCAAAATAAAACATAAAAGAGCTGGGCATGTAGCTCAGTTCAAGGGGCCTGGGTTCAATCCCCAGTGTTGCGGGGGGACGGGGAGAGAAGAAATGCTAACATTTTTGTACTTGTGTCTTAAACATCTAATTAATGTGAACACTCCCTAAAAATGGAAAAGAATGAGATTTTATAAGTTCACATTATTCCTTCAGGCTAAGAGTCTTGAGGCAGCGCTCCTAAGATCCTGAAAGTACAGCATTAAGTGAAATTCTATTTACACTCCTTGAGGAATGTGCAAGGTACAATAGGCTCATAAAGCTGGTATTAATTATTGCACTTCATGCTGTTGATGGCTTATTTAGCAGGCCGTATAATGACAAATTGCCCTCCCTTATTAAAGCAGCTGCCCGGTCTCACTCCTTGATCATTTGCAGTAATTCTCAAATTCGTTCCATCATTTCAATTCAGAGGCTAATTGATTAATCTCATTTAGCTCATTAGTGCTCCGTACTAGCACTATTGTAAATATTCATAGAATTCATCCTTATATAACAAAGTCCTTTCCCTCCAGCAGGACTTTAAACCCAGCATTCTGCAGTCCCCAAACCTTGTAAAATTGTCAAGGCCTTCTTTGATTCTGCCTGGAGTCAGCAAAACAAAAAGTTAGCATGCCCTGTGAAGAACAGCCAAAAGTTCTATTCTACTAATGAAACACACAACAGAAAGCTGCAACATTTTCTCCCTGAAGTGATCATTATTACTTATTTCCCAGTGTCTGTGAGTTGTATTTTCCAAGGCATCATGAAACCTTTTGGTTCAGTTTTTGACAGCAATTTGCTATAATTTGGATGTGGAATGTCCCCCGTGTCCCATGCGTGAAAGGTTTGCTCAGTAGGACTGCTGGGGAGCATAGCATCAAGAGGGGCAGGGCCAATGGGAAGAGACGCTGTCACAGGGGTGTGTCCTTGAAGAGGATATTGGGACCCTGCCCTTTTCTCTGTTTTGCTTCCAGCTGCCACGAGGTCAGGAGCTGTTGCCACCACAGGCTTCCCTCATGATATACGGTGGCACTGCAGGCCCATAGTAACAGGGCCAAGTGGACTGAAACCTCAGAAACCGTGAGACAACATAAACCTTTGCTCCTTTTTGAGTTCATTATCTCAAGC